ACAAATGACGTCGCTGTCGACCGGCTTACGTCACTTCTTAGTACACACTGTCGGTGCGAATGCAACCCTTTAAATGGTGCTGGGAAATAGTTCGCGCAGAATCGTCCCAGTACTTTAGTACTGTACATTTAGTTCTGGAACTAAAGCGGTGCGAAAGGCCCTATAGAGAGAGAAAAAATGAACAGTGAAAGTAACAAAAACTTGTAAAATACATTTTAATGGGCATAATTAAGTGTGAAAATAACCAAAGGATATACAGTCAAACCAAAAATTATTCAGAGACCAGATATAATTTTTAAATATTTTTTTACAAGTGGGTGCAGGACACTATAGTTCATTTATGTAAAGTGAGGATAGCAAAATAAACAAAGTATACCCAAACATTCTTCATACAGTGGACTACCAGTAAAACTGATACAAATTGGGACCAAAAATGATTGAAGTTGAGGTTTGCATGAAGCTGGGTGACCGCATGCCCAGGAGACTATATGCTGTCATTAAGGCTAAGGGTTGCCCGACTAAGTATTGATAGTTGTGTAAATATTGACAATTTGTTCTGACACAGTTTAACTCTGAGTTCTTGTTATATTTTATTACCATTTTCTAAACTATAGCGAATAAACTGATAATGTGAGAAATGTTGAAGGTGTCTGAATAAATTTTGGTTTGACTGTATCTATTTGATAAATGAAGTTAACCAACTAACATTATACATACTCTTTTGGTTTCTGTACCCAATATTTAAAAAATGTACAAATGCAATAAAAATATCGGTATCGGTACTCCGTATCGGCAAGTACCAAAAATAAAAGTATCGGTATCGGGCGAGTACTGGAAGAAGTGGTATCGGTGCATCCCTTGTAATTATTATTCGAAAGAGAAAAAAAACTATTCGAACTTTACTAAGTGTTGATTATGCCATAAATCATGCTTGCCTTAAATGAAGGGAATCCATGATAAATCCTAAGCACAAAAAACTAAAAGGCAGTTATAACTAAATGCACTGGGTGGCGCTATTGAAAGTTTGGCGATGTTTAGCATGAGAATCCAACTCCTTAACTGTGTACAAGTCAGAATGCATGAAATAGCCTTAAACATCCCCTTTAAAGTTTCAATATGTAGCCGATGACGTCACTACTGACCAGTCAGTGAAAATCGTATAAAAACTGAATATTCTGTTGCTGCTTAGTGTATTGAGAAATATTTTGTTAATCTGATTAATAATATAATTAAATGTAAATTTCATCTGTAGAAGCTTTTACTTTTATTTGTAAGACACTCTATTATGTCATATCTGTATCCAGAGTGGTTTTCTCTGCGTAATTGTTTAATTCTGCAGGATTACTCGGCCTAATGGATCCCGGATAATATTCACGCAAACCAAACCTCTTCAGTCAGCTCCACTTCTCTCCTGTCTAGAACGTCTGGATCTTCCGCTGCATTTCTCCACTTTTGTGTTTGCTTCTTTCCTGATCGTAGTGAAGCTCTCATGTGATTTTTATTCTCTGATGGATTCAGATCCACCTGTTATTGCATGATATGTATTGTAGACATGAGGTTCCAGTTCTGCTCATAATGATGGAATCTTTTTATTTATGTTACATGGATGATGTATGAGTGGATCCAAACCTTTCCCTCCTGCTTTTGGATATCTTTCACTTTTGTTTTGTTAAACTTGTGTAGCTAATGTAAAAAGTTGGTCATGTTATTACACTTTTTGTTGTTTTATACCATCTTGTTTTGAATAAAACTGAAATAAGACAATGATCTGTGTTTGTTGAACAGTTCTTGAATTAAACTTTGTAACTTTCCATCATTTAGACTGTAATCATATTGATAAATGAATGTATTCTTGAGAAACATCAGGCTCAATACAAACAGACACATATGAACCCAACACACCGAGTACAGGAACAAATGTAAATATGTAAATACAGGAGGAGCTCTGACATCACTGGAGACAGATTCAGGCAAGTAGCTTGATCAACAACCACATTGACGCCTGAAACGATCAGCCTCTTTAAACAACAGAATATTTACTGAGCTGTTCAAAGACCCTTGTGGGACACATCTGATACTCAGAGGTAAGTGATAAAAATACAAGAGATCGTCCGGAGCAGGGTTCTAATGGAAATTAAATGGTCTGGTTCGATAGGGTTAATGTCAAACTGGAATGCTTTGAACAGAGCCATGGGCTGCTAAAACTGGTTTTACAAGTTAGTATATTTAGTTTTTCTTTAAGAGCACTCACAACAATTTTTTTTGTTTTTCTAAGTCAGTTACATAAAAACGTACATTGGTCCAATATGATACCGAAAAGTAAGACTGATTACCCCCAACTAACTGCTATTTGGTCATACCAGTTCTTAAGACACTCTTAACATGGCTATATGTTTATGCAACATGCCCCAGGGTTGATCATGTCAAATAGTCTACTACTTTAGTTGTTTACTGCACCGAAATGGCATCAGTATTAAAAGTCATTTGGTTGGTTGTACAGCAAAGTTTGGTGTTTCAGTCATGTTGTCACATGACAAAGACTAAAGAAACATGAAGGATATATGACTTAGACACAAAACTGAACCTGCTACAAAGCTCGGCTGCCGACTCATGCAATTGACACTTTTCTCACAATCTTATGTCACACGTCCATTTTCTCACATGTTAAAAGCACCTTAAAACAGAAGCAAGAGCACCTTCAGTTAAAACTAATAATCGGTTAAAACAGGGCTGTCCAAACTCGGTCCTGGAGGGCCGGTGTCCTGCAGAGTTTAGCTCCAACTTGCCTCAACACACCTGACGGGAAGTTTCTATGCCTAGTAAGAGCTTGATTAGCTGGGTCAGGTGTGTTTAATTAGGGTTGGAGCTAAACTCTGCAGGACACCGGCCCTCCAGGACCGAGTTTGGACAGCCCTGGGTTAAAAGTAATAGATAATAAATAAATAGTAATAGTAAAAGTAATAATCGGGTACTGGCAAAAGTTTCAGGAGTGACATATAAATCCCTCATCCCTCATATAAATACGGTATTCACTCATAATATGCTGATAACCATAGCAATGGAAGGGTGAAAAATGTAATTTGTCAAATCAGAAGTTCGTTAAGGTTAAGCAATGTAAATGCAGATTAATACATTAATAATATTTTTGAAATGCTGCTGCAATTATAATGACTTGAAAATCTTACAATTCTCTCGTTGCACATTATTATTCTTGCTGATATATATTTTTAACAAAACAACCCAACCAAACCCTCCACCCCACCCCTGGGGGGAATTCTCACTATAAGTTGAACTGAAAAGTTGGCAGTCCTTCAGAGTTTGGTGTGTCAGACACCTTATGAAGAGTGAAGAAACATGAAGTATGACTGTCTAAATGCAGACATGCTTAAGAAGATGAAATAAAACTTGACCTTGCATCAGTTTTTTTTTTGTGGGGGGGACGTTTTGTCAGAGAATATTTCAAAAAGATCTGTTTGTTTATTGTTTGCATTTAATATAAACAGCAGTTTTATGAGTGCATGGGTTTTGAAAGGAACTCTTCTCTTACAAAATAAAATGTTTACTACAATGAAATACAATTAAAACTATTTCATTTGAAATACACTGCAGCTGAAAAATCACATTTACTTAAAACTAAATTATACCACTAATACTACCACTTGGCCATACAAAATGTTTGTTAATTTTAAGAGTAGAGTACTTTTCCTTTAACATAAACAGCGGTTATAGTTACAGTTATAGTTATTATAATGTTTGTTGGGTTTTTTTGTTTATTTATTTGTTTGTATAGTTTTTTCCCCTTGAAAAGGCATAAGGCATAAGTGAAGAACAATGGCAGAATCTTCCCCAACACCATCATATACACGAAAAAGGAGAGGGAGTATAGACGATCCTCCATGTAAGTCAATAACCTAATTAGTTCTTATACTTTATCATCAACCACAGATTCAAGCTCTGCACATGTTGACTACACAAGTGCAGGTTATTATCAGCCACTCTATATTCATTTCTCCATCCAGCTATGTCATCCTCAAGTCAGCCTGAAGTTCTGTGTGACTTCTGTGAGGAAAGAAAGCTGAAAGCCCTGAAGTCGTGTCTGGTGTGTCAGAGCTCTTACTGTGAAACTCACCTGGAGCCTCATTTGAGAGTGGCAGGTGGAGCCTCATTTGAAAGTGGCAGGTTTAAAGAAACACAAACTGATCGATCCTGTGAGTTATTTGAAGAACTATATATGTCAGAAACACGAGAGACCTCTGGAGCTGTTCTGTAGAGATGATCAGACGTGTGTGTGTCTGATGTGTGCTGTGAAAGAACACAAGACCCACAACACTGTTTCTTTAGAAGAGGAGAGTGAAGAGAAGAAGGTAGAAGTTATTAACAAAACTGATTTTAAAGGGCTCATATCATGAGGAATCACATTTTTATTTAACAATTTATTTTAAGTGACTCAATTATGAAAACATATTGTGTGTTGTTCTCTGTCTATAGACTCAACTGATGAATACACAGAAAGATGCAAAACAGATGATCCAGGACAGAATCAAGAAGATTCAAAACATCAAACACTCAGCAGAAGTCAGAAAAGTGAGTTAATTCAGTAAAAAGTAAAATATTTATTGTAGATCATTTAGTTGCGGTCCTCCAAGACTCCTGGTATACAGTGCAGCACCACTGGGACTTTTCACTGTATCACTCGTCTGTGTTTGTTCAGTCAGAATGTGTATTGGTCTTTGTCAGATGACATCAAACTACTAATAACCAAATTGCATTGTGGGTGTAGCAGCCTTTTTTTGTGGTGGCCTGTGGTTGGAGAATTGTCTTTTCAGTTGCTTCCTTTTATCTGTAAAATGGTATGCTTGTGTTATGTGAAAAGCTGCAATAACAAGTCCCACGATGGGAAAGGCTGAAAACCTGACCACAAAGCAAAAATTTTCAGGTTTCCCATCTTGAAAAAAGTTATAGACTATAGGTAGCCAATCAACAAAAAGGCATTTAATGGTCTGCGATGCAGGGGTGAGATGCAAAAACATCACTTTTGCCAAGATATCCTTGTTTATGTACATTTGCTCTCAACATTTTCATAAAGTGACGTAAAAGATGTTTTTTTTAAGTAATGTTTACAGATGTGCTTGTTCTCTATTTTCTAAAGTAGCTAACATTATACCCATGTGTAGTTTTGGATTATCCATGCTATTAAACAACAGACAACCAGGGAGCGGGGGAGCAGAAATGGGTTAATCTGGACTTGTTAATATTATAAAATGTCATGTAATCATCTGGGGTGTAAAGTACTTGAGTTACTTGGGTTTTACTTTACTCAAATGCAATTTAAACAGAATACGTCTACTAAAATACATTTCCAATGACAAAACTATAATTTTTGCTAATTACAATTTTGTTAGGGATTGAAAGGTACTGACTACGTTTTTATACATAATTTTTATTTCATATGCTTATGACTAAACTGTAAGTGGGAGCAGTTAAGGAAAAACACACTGCAGCCAGCTGAGATGATGGCCCACCTGGCTGGAGAAAGTGGTCAGATTCACACCGAGGAAGGGACATAGGAGGCTAGAGAAAGGGGTCAGCGACACACTGAAGAGGGGACACACAACACCATTCAGTGCCACAGACTGAATGTTACTTATGTGTGCACAGATATGCAGATGCAAACCACCTGTTGGAAGAAAACTGACAGCTGACATACTTCGCATGTGATTTACTTATGCAGTAATGGTCGACCGATATAGGTTTTTTGACAGCTGATGCCGATATATCTTAGAGAGCAAGGTGGCTGATGGCACTATACAGTATATGTTAAGTTACAACTGTATTGTGTGCTGACAAACACACATATCAATTATAAGTAAATAATATAAGTTCTTATACTGTAAACAAGATAGTTAGAATATGAGGTTGGAGGCAGTAATAGCAATGCGGGCCGGCACTCAACTTTTTGTGGAACTTTACGGTTCCATATCTTTGATGAAATTAACTCAGTATCGTATCCACTTGGTTTGTTTCTGCTTCTTCAGTTTGATTATTTAATTGATCTTTACTGTACCCTTTTTACTTTCACTTCATTGCTCAATGTACAGATATTTCAAAATGGCGTCACACAGAAAAAAACACATGTGACTGACATAGACCTATTAATGGTGGGGATTTTACAGTGACTCTTTCTGCAGATAACATCGTTACACCAGTAGGTGCTGACAAGTGTTTTTGTTTTTGATTCATTCAATCAAATGATTTGTTCAAAAACACTTAAATCAGGAACGAATCATCGCTACAATATGTTGTAGCTTTATTTTAAACTCTTTTTGGTGGTTGGAGCAAATATAGAAAAAGTCACTAAAATGCCAGTTAATTTATAGTAACTTCTTGTTTAATTATTGTGTTTATTGCATGTTGGTCTGAATATCGACACGGCTGTGATTACCTGATCACTAAAGAAATAGCACATCTGTCTTCACCAAGACACATGATTTGAGGAATCATTGAGGATGAAGTTTAATACTTTGGTTGAGGGATTTGGAAAACTCTCTAAAACACTTAAGCATGAGGAAGAGTAACACTGATTCTTGCCTTAGCAAACACAGATAATAATTTGTTGGTTGACTTGGTTGAGCAGAGAAACACAGAGGAGGAGAAAGCCGCCCGTGTTGAGCTCTTCACTGATCTCATCCGCTCCATTGAGAGATCTAAGTCTGAAGTGCTGGAGATGATTGAGGAGCAGCAGAAAGCAGCAGAGAAAGAGGAGCAAGAGCTCATTGAAGAGCTGGAGCAGGAGATCACTGAGCTAAAGATGAGAAACACTGAGCTGGAGCAACTCTCACACACTGAAGATCACCTCCACCTCCTACAGGTCAGTGAACATCTCTCTGATCAGTGATAATGCAGTATATGACACCATAACACTCCCCATGCTGAAGGATTTCTCCTCTCTACTGCTGTAGAGTTACTCATCCCTGTCCAGCCCTGAAAACACCAGGAACTGCTCTGAGATCAGTGTGAAGACTCATAAGAGTCTGGAGACTCTGAGCAGAGCTCTGACTAAACTACAAGACACTCTACATGAGAAACTTACTGGTGCGTCAATACATAAATTGATCAGATATATTCATGATGTTGTACACAATTCTTTAAATATAACCTTAAAGGGGTCATATGATGCTGCTAAAAAGAACATTATTTTGTGTATTTGGTGTAATGAAATGTGTTTATGCGGTTTAAGGTTAAAAAAACACATTATTTTCCACATACTGTACATTATTGTTTCTCCTCTATGCCCCCCACCTTTCTGAAACGCCTTTCTTTTACAAAGCTCATCGGTCTGAAAAAGTGAGGTGTGCTGTGATTGGCCAGCTATCCAGTGCATTGTGATTGGCCGAATACCTCAAGTGTGTGACGGAAATGTTACACCCCTTACCATATTGTGATGATGCCCTGTCAGGCCGGAGCGATGATTCAAAAACATGAAAACCCATTACAAACGAGGCATTCGTTGCATCCAGTGGGGACATAATTATGGATTATAATGACTTATACTGT